GAGTCGAACTGCAGTTCACCGCACCCTATTGCCCAAGAGAGAACCCGACCGAACGTGCCAATCGCACAGTGAAAACCATGATCGCTCAATACGTGGAACATGGGCAGAACACGTGGGACAGCCTGCTGCCCGAACTATCACTGGCGATCAACACGAGCGTCTCAGAGTCGACCGGGTTTAGTCCAGCATTTCTACTCCAAGCCCGCGAGCCACGACTACCCGGATCATGGTACGACAGTGTGACCCCTGGAACAGCCTCCTCGCCGCAGACTCCTTCAGAGAGGGCCAATCGCTTGAAGGAAGTGTTTCAAATAGTGCAGAACGACCTGCAGAGAGCCAGCCGGGAGCAGGGCAGGCACTCTAACATGCGTCGCCGTACTTGGAAGCCGGCCATGGGATCGGCCATGGATCGTCTTGGTGCGACAACATCACCTCTCAAAAGCAGCAGAGGGATTCGCAGCGAAGCTTGCCCCAAAATTCGACGGGCCCTACAAGGTGGTCGCTTTTCCTTCGCCCAACGTCGTCCGAATCCGCCTGCCAGGCCAGCGGAAGGGACGACTTGCCAATATTGGAGACTTAAAAGCGTTTCATTCTTCTTCCACAGGTGATCCCGAAGACGAAGACAGCGATTGTGCCGAAGATGGCGCCGGAGACCAACCCGGGCCGTCTCACCGAGGTCAACCGACCCCTGCTATCAGCGAGGGGTGATTATAAGTACCCCTACCCTACTCTGTGACCCAATATCACTAAGAACCATTGCTAAGTTTAAGGATACTCTCAAGTTAGGGGTTTATCGCTGCTGCCCGTTAGGTCTCATTTCATAGGCCCCCTCAGATTAAGCTAGAGTAGTTGTATCTTCCACAGATCCGGAGCCATGGAGACGATCGAGCTGTCGTCAAGTGACAGCGAGGGAGAGCCCGGACTCAGCAGCAGGGTCACCAGCCAGCCGACGACCTCTCGGGACCCCCGGCTACGCCCAGGATCGGCGTACGCTGGGAGGTCCACCCGGTCAGACCCGACGGGTATGAGCCAGCCGGGAGGCTCCGGTCGAGAGCCCTCACCCTCATCGGAAACCTCCAGCGCTCGGACAAGACCCCGCCGGGTCGCGTCGAGCTGCGCACCACCACGTCGCCGAGATGACGATGGCCGTCACGCTCCACCTCCAACCCGTGGCACATCGCCGCACTACTCCGACGAATACGGGCGTCGCGTCCACGACGGCCCCACCACCGGATTCGCGCCCCGTCCGTACACCCAGTACTTCGCGGACGCATTCCCCGAACGCCAGGAATGCGCCCCGCGTCCGGACCGCCCGAGTCCATCCGGGTCGTCCGACACGGAGGTGTACAACCCTTGCGAGCGGGAGGCGGACTACCGATCAAGTTCGGAGGAGCGAGAGAGCGTAGGGAGCGAGCAGGAGTTCGTCAGTGACGATCCGGACGACGAGGACGAGCCGCCGGACGCCTACGTCGAAGACGTCACTGACGACGAGGATGATCCCCGGCCCACGTACTTCGAGAGCTCAGATGATCGACAGGACGACGAGGACGATGACAGCGTCCCACCCGCAGGAGCGCAGCACTTCCTCTACACCGGGGAGGACAGGTTTTGGTACCAGCGAGGGTCGTGGGCGTACCTAATCCACACTACGTACGAGACCATGCAGGTCGAAGTCCCGTGGCGGCCCTCAGAAAGCCCGTACGTCACTTTTCCAGAGTCCCCGGAACGTCTCTGCATTCTGGGCGTGGACGACAGGGCCGTGCCCTCGTTCGCCAACTCAGGCAACGACTGCGACATGCCAGGGAACCCGGGCCCGACGACCTCGAAGCCTGCGACATCGACTCGAGATGACACCCTGCCGCAGGACATCGTAATGCGGGACGCTAAGCCCAGCACCATGGACCCTTCCAGTCGCCCACACCACCCCACGGGCAAGGCGATGGAGTGGGAGTCGGAGCCCAGCGACGACGAAGAGGACACGGGCCAGCGATTCCGGCGCAGGGATCCGGTCCTGACTCCGGTCCCCTGCCAGCCGCTGCCCATACATGCACCACCCGCAGCCATGCCCACCCGATCGCCCGAGGCTACCACCTCGAGCGCCGTCCGCGAACCACCCGCAGCCGTGCCCAACCGATCGCCCGAGGATGCCACCCTGAGCGCCGTCCTCGAATCCACCGCAGCTGCCACACCCCTCGCGATAACCCCGAGGTCCAGTCCCCTCAGTGCCACCCTAGGCATGTCACCCGGGACCATCGGACAACTGCTAGACCAGATCCCAGCTGGGGTCGAAGAATTGATTTGGGCTGCCCCAGAACGCTGGAACCCCGACGGCCTCGTCAGCCCGCCTCAGGACGCCACCGACGGACGAGAGAGGAGTCCCGTGCACGCCAGCCAGGACCCGCCGGAAGGCGAGCGATATCCGCTTCCGGACGGGTGAGAGCACAACCTACCGGACCGCCGTGTGCCTGCCGTTGTGTGGCGGACCATCTCCGCCAGACTCGCCGCCGCCCAGTACGCCCGCCAACGCCTGCGAGTACGGACTGAGGATGGGTCGTACCAAATCACCCTCCGACCCAGCGGACGGGGAACAGTCTCTTTTGTTCCCCGAAGTAGGGAGGGGATGTAACGCCCCAAATCTGGGGCGCACCATTTCATCATCATCATCATCATCGCCAACTGCGTGCCGAGAGAGAGCTCGGAGTCACCCTCACTTAATTATTATTGTTACTAGGCTAAGTTCATTATTATCATCGTTATTACTAGGCTCAGTTCATTATTATTCTTGTTAATATTAGGTTAAGTTCATCTTTTCCCCCTTGTAAATATTAAGCATTTCTCATTATAAACTTATAAAAAAACTAAACTAAGCGGTAGATATTAATTATTAGTAGTGGAGAAGTGAACCCCCGAAACGAACTAGGTGGCAACCCCTGAACACTACGCTAGCCAAGACGCGACCCGCGCAGAGACCCTCCTGAAGTTACTATCGCACTACCTGTGATCGATAAGCCACTCGATAAGCGACCCGGCCGATCGATAAACGCGACGCATCGCTTAAGTGCGAGCACTAGTTTTTTCACTCATCCTCTTCCGCTCTCAGCGCTCATCGCGACAAGACGTGCGCCAGTCACCGCACCCTCCGAGACCGAAGAGACCCACGCGACATCTCACCACCGAGTTAGCCCTCGCACATCCGCGAATCCGTGTTCCGCCGCGCCGCCACCACGCTCGATCGTGTGCTGTGACGCGATCCGCCTCTGCCATACGCCGGCCACGCGAGTTTGCCATACGCGTTTTCCCCTTCCCCGCGCGCCAGATCGCGACAACCGCGTCGCCAGGAGTCACGTAAGCACTTTTCCCCCCTTTTTCCCCTATCTGTAAGGGCAGCAGCAAGCCCGACAGCCAACCGAATACGTATAATAAACCAAGAGAAACCCAAAGTGAAACATCGTTATTATTCTTTCGTAGTTTATGGTATCCTTCCTCCTCACCATTTTCCTCCACCTCGACCGAGACCGACGCTTGTGTCTGGTTTCCCACTCACAAGACGAAGCTTCGGCCGAGATTTCCTCCTCTTCTCTTCCCCCTGCATGACCCAGCTAAAGTAGACATTTCGTAGACTCCGAGTCCATCCGGAGTAGTAGTGTTTACGTAGACTCCGAGTCCATCCGGAGTAGTAGATTGTACGTAGACTCCGAGTCCATCCGGAGTAGTAGATTTTCCGTAGACTCCGAGTCCATCCGGAGTAGTAGATTTTACGTAGGCTCCGAGTCCATCCGGAGTGGTAGATTTTACGTAGACTCCGAGTCCATCCGGAGTAGTAGTGTTTCCGTAGACTCCGAGTCCATCCGGAGTAGTAGAGTTTCCGTAGACTCCGAGTCCATCCGGAGTAGTAGCCTCCCCGCAGCCACGATTTCGCTACCGTGAGCCGCTGCGACGACCCACATACATTCTCGGCCTACAACGCCACCTGTTGGTCCGAGTCCCCCTCACGACCAACACGCGGTTTCGGCCTACAACTGTTGGCCCGGTTCGTCTCACGACCAACACGCGTGTTCGGTCAATAACACCACCTAGCGGCGTGAGTTGCTAACTCACGATCGGCCTGACCCCCGTCAGAGGGCGCTATTCCCCGAATTCCCGGACGATCACCGTTCCCACCCCAACCGAATCTCACCTCTGCGGTGTGATCGGACTTTGCCAGCCTCAAGCCTCATTCGAAGCCTCATCCGTTCGCCCGACAGGTGGCGCTGGAGACCCACCTTTTCACTGTCGGCTATACGGATGAGACAGTACAGTGATTCTTCGCCTTAAACCACGTGGTCCTACGCCCGGACACGCAGCCGGCGACCTCTTTCTCTCGTTTCTACGCATGGTGTGCCTCGTTCCTCGGTATCCTGCCACCCCCATACTATTCCTACTACAGGTCCCATCCCTCTATATAAATTTCTTGTATAGGTTCCTTGGCCCCGACTGAGATTTTATCCCGGCCAGAGAACTTCGTGACAACTTTTATTCGGGAAAATAACTTCTGGCGGCGGGTGTGGGATAAATTCCCCAATATATATATATACTTAATGGCCGGCGGCCATGCTCACCCTGACTGGATATCCTTGGAGGTCCTGCAGGATATTTGGTTCCGATGCACACACGCGGTTTCACACGGACACTTCTTTTTACTTCGGGAGCGGCACAACTTACGAGGTCGAGAATTAATTGACCTAATTTCCGCAGTGTGGCCGTGACCTAATTTCTGCCGGCAGCGCTGCCGCGATCGATCTTGGCGTTGCCAGATGCTGATACTATTGCTGACAGCGTTGCCACTTTTTTTTAATTCGTTTAATGAAGCAAAGCATATACAAAAAAGTGGGGGGATAGAGGGGTTTGGGTCACACAGAAATCGGGACAGTTTGCTCGCGTGGTACGGCCGCGAAGCAATGCTTCGCGCGGGCGCTGATCCCGACCTATGTTGCCTCGTTGTTCCTGCGTCGCTCCTCTGCTCAGAGCTCCGTCATAGCCTTCGCTGCGAAGTCCGACACGACGTGCCAATTCGCTTGGGACAACAACATCAGCGGAACTAGGTTTTCCGCTGTGATGGTGTTGCCCAGTCTGGCCTCCAGCGATGCTCGCTCACCGGCAAACCTCGCACAGTTAAAAACCGTGTGCTCTGCCGTCTCCTCCAGCTGTCCTTGGCAGTGCGTGCAGGAGTCGTCTTCCTCTTGGCCGAATCTCCGCAAGTAGCTCCGAAAGCTGCCGTGGCCGCTGAGGATCTGGGTCAGGTGGAAGTTTATCTGACCGGGCTTTCTCTTCAGCCAGCACTCCAACTGGGGAATCATCCGATACGTCCATCTTCCCTTGGACGCTGACAGTCCGCGACTATAGACCGGGGTCGCCAGTACATGTCCCCAGACTGGTGAAGCATAGAACATGCTGGCTCTAGCTACGCTGGACAGTAGCAGCCTGCTCGCCTGCTTCGGGCCCCTGTGGTTCAGCATTAGTCTGCCGACTGCTCTCACCGCTGTGGTGGCCTTTGTGCTAGCATACGCTAGGTGCTCGCGGAAGGAAAGCCTCGTGTCGATCATCACGCCCATGTACTTAATGGCTCTGGACGATCTGATAGAAGCCCCGCACACTCGGATGGTTGCGACCTCCACCTTCTTCCGGCTGCTTACCAGCATGGCTTCCGTTTTTTGCGGCGCTAGTTGTAGGCCAACACTGGACAGCCACAAGTTTATACGGCTGATGCTCCTGTCGCACAGCTCTTCTGCTCCTGCGAGTTCCTTGTCGACTACGACTACGGCTATGTCGTCTGCGAATCCCACCAGCTCGGTCCGACCTGGTAGCGGGAGCCGCAGAACACCGTCATACATAGCGTTCCACAGCAACGGAGCCAGGACCGACCCTTGCGGCACTCCGCAGGAAAGCTTGGCAGATCTAGCACCGCCATCAGAGTCGTACACCAGAGTCCTGCCTCTGAAGTAACTCTTCAACAGCTCCAAGAGGTACGGGGGTACTCCGAAGCTGGATAGTGCGTCTAGGATACAATCCCATCTCGCCCTATTAAAGGCGTTGCGGACGTCTAGCGTGACTATCAGGCAGTACTCCTTCGCGCCTCCTTTCCACCGTTGTCCCGCAATGGCGGCTTTCGCGATGCCCACCACTTTGGAGATGGCATCTACCGTCGACTTAGCCTTCCTGAAACCGAACTGGGAGTCGGAAAGATCGCCGGCTGTGGCAATGGCCTTCTCGAGCCTCGTCCGGATCAATTGCTCCAGAACCTTACCCGCCCCATCAATCAGGCAGATTGGTCTGTAGGCGGATGGGTCTTCAGGTGGCTTTCCTGGTTTCGGGAGCAGGACCAGCCTCTAGACCTTCCATTTCCCACGAAATATACCTTCTCTAAGGCACCTTGCATAAAGCTCCGCGAATAAGTCCGGGCGAAGCGAGAGAGCAAGTCTCAGGGCTCTTTTGGGAACCAGGTCAGGGCCCGGGGCTTTCGCCTCCCTGATTCTCATCGCCACCGCCAGGATTTCCGTGTCCAGGACTGGCTCAAACCCTTCCAGCGAGTGCGTCGCAGTCTCCGGCGTGTCTCTAGGGTTATCCGTCCTCGGGAACAGGTGTTCGACTATCCTGTCGATGCTCTCCGCGTCATGCGGGGCGCCCTGTTTTGCCCCATGGATCTTCTTAACGATGATCCTGTAGGCGTTTCCCCAGGGATCGTGGTCCGCATGATGCATTCCGTTCTGGCCGCGGCGATCGTCTCGTTCCAACAGTACACAGAGTCCCTGTGGGCGCGCTTGGCAGACATGCAGTCGTCGCATGCGGTCTGCAGTTGGATCATGGCAGATTCCGCCATCTGCTCTGCAGAGCCATTTGCTTCCAACCTCTGCATATGCTCTGCGAAGGATTGGATGTCCAGTGTATCGGCCTTGTATCCCCTACGATCTTGGGGAAGCAGCGGTGTGGGTTGCGCTCGCTCTATATCCAACGCGGTGATGATCGCCGCGTGGTCGCTCCCCGTATAGACATCGCTCAGGACCCAGGTGCACTGGCTATCCCTGGAGCAGCTCACAAACGTGAGGTCGACCACCGAACTCGCCCCGGCTCTGCTGAAGGTGGGCTGTGCCCCGGTGTTGAGGAGTGTGACGTCGAGCGTGGAGAACGGTTCGAGGAGGGTCCTGCCTCTGGCATTGGTGAGGGAGCTGCCCCAGTCCACCGCCCAGGCGTTGAAGTCTCCGGCTATAAGGCACGGAGTGTGGCACCTTGCGTCTGCGGCTAGCCGATCCACGGCGTCCCCAAAATCCTCGAATGACATGCTCGGCGCCAGATAGACACTGAACATCCACCAGCCTGCCATCTTGGCACTCACGAAGCCTCTCTCCGAGCGGACGTCAGCCATTCTCTTGGGTGTAATGCCGCATGACCACAGAGCAGCTTTGCCAGAGCTGTCCACCGCCCAGTATGGGCCAGGGCCTACCCTGTACGGCTCACTGATAGCGGCAACATCGACACCGCGTTCTCGGATCGATTGCGACAGCAAATCGTGTGCTGCCGCGCAGTGGTTCAGATTTAGCTGAACCACTATCATGCCCTTATTGTTTTGGATGCGGAAGCATCTGGGGCGAGATTCTATCACCTTGATTCGGCATCTCGTCCAGCCGACTTTCACCCTGTGAGTGGGTGTGTGTGTACTTAAGCTTAATTTTAGGTATAATATTTACATAGTTAGTTCTAAGCTTAATTTAGGAAATAGTTATTTACATATATACATGTTAGTGGCGACCAATCGAGTCGTCACAGAATACTAAAACACAATTACAAAAACGATATGGAAATAAAAGCTTATTATTTTTATATACGCACATGAATCCTTAATATTTTTATGAAACCCACGAACCAACAAACCTTGCACTGAGAGAAATAAATAAAACCCATTCACGAAAACAATGTTAAAATAAAAGCTTCTCCAATATTTCATATACCCACATAAACCCAAATCGTGCCGTCAGTTCCGTTTGGATATCTAGGGGATATATACCGATTATGGTTTCGAGTGCTTTGGTAGGGCGCTGAGGACAATCAGCGCCCCTGATATGCAGAGCAGTGCCTGCCGCTGAGTTCTCTCCATAAGCTTATTGCTTTCTTCTTCATGGCTTGCCACCACACTAAGACTCCATACAGAAGCCATCCATGACGATATCCAATTTAGCCAACTTAACCGCAGGGCGAGTTACGAATCCTTCAGTTGTTCGTACTACACCGCTCCTTACTTGCCCATCCTTTCCGCAATGAACGTCAGGAACGATTCCTTTCGGCCAGGAGTTCCGCTTGCTCGTCTCATCCACGACGATGACCACATCATTCACAGGAATTGGTTTTTGTTTCGGATGGAACCATTTGGTACTCTCGAACCCATCTTTTCCAGAAGCGATCCGCTAATTGGCCAGCTATCCGGAAGTTTTTAGTCAATCCAGTGCTCTCCATCGTGCCTCGTTCACGTAGTCCAGGTATCCAATATTGTTGCCGAATTTCGTTGACAACAATCTCTCCGTGCAGATGATGATATTTGCGATGATAGTATCCCACTATTAGATACGTTACCCTGTGGCGTGATGGGAGGATAATCGGATGCTTCACGTTCACCTCCACATCTTCAATGTCTTCTATCCGAGCTTGCATTCGAAGCACTCCGCCTGCATCAAGATATGGTGAGAGCTTGAAAATAGTGCTTTTCTAGTTAGTTACGCAGTCTTCTTTCTTTAGACAGCGAATTAAATCAGCCAACGCTTTTTCTTGGCATGCTCGTATAAAAACCGTATAATCGAATCAATAGGAGACTTGTTCACCCGCGATTCCTCGCTTGTTCACACTCGCTACTAATGTCAACTCCTTTAGCCATGGCCACTGCGACCATCTTGCTGAGCTGTTTATTTCGCATTTCTTAGTCCATTTGGTTTCTTCATCCGCCACATTTTGTTTCGAAGGTACCCAGCGCCAATTTTCAATCTCAGATTCTTCAAGTATCTCTCTAATACGTAAGGCCACGAATTGAGGGTACTTACGGGCGTCGGATTTTATCCAGTACAAAACGTCTCGCGCATCAGTCCACAATATGCGTTTTTCGATTTTTGTTGACAGCTCAGATTCCAAATATTTGGCCAGGCGCAGACCCAAAACAGCTGCCATCAATTGCATTCCAGGCACTGATATTGGTTTCAATGGAGCTACTCTATTTTTTGACGCATCGGATCTCGCCGCCATGCTGCTACTGCAGCATAAACATCCAGGCTGGCATCGACAAATACATGCAACTGCACCCTTTTGACGGAACTTGAACAGGACATGTAGCGTGGAATGCGGATATCTCCAAGTTTCTTCAGTAAAGCCTTTATGCCATCTAGTTATAATCTTCCGGTTCTTTAATGGCGTCATCCCAGCTCACTCCTGATCTCCATATATTTTGCAGGATGATTTTGGCGAGGATGTTGAAAAATCCAAGTATCCCAAGCGGATCAAAGATGGACATTACAATACTCAGCACTCGACGCTTTGTATGGGTTGCCGACCTCTGCCTGATGACGAACGTTAGCATGTCTGACTCCGGTAGCCACCACCTGCCTAATACTTTCTCCTGAAGTTCTCCACGCCAAGATATTTCGGTGACGCCTCCCGTGAGTTATTCAGGGATTGAAGGACGCTTTTGGAGTTTTAAAGCCAATTCCTCATTTAAAATCCACCTTTGGTGTTGATATTTTTCACATTTGTTGCCAGTTGAATCATCTGATCTTCCGTATCTACCGACTCCAGCCAGTCGTCAACAAAGGTGTTTCGGAAGATCGCGCTTGGATGTTTCTCGCCGAATTTCTCCGCATTGCGCCTTAATACGAAGTTGGCAAGTGAGGGCGAACAAGAAGCACCAAAGGTCATCACTTGCATTACATATGTATCCGGCGGACGATCAATTTCTCCATTTCTCCATAAGAACTGTTGCGAATATTGGTCGGAAGCGCGAACTTTAATTTGGTGAAACATCTCTCGTATGTCACTTGTTACAGCCACAGGTCGCTCTCGGAAAAGCAACAGTACTCCCATCAATGATACCAACAGATCCGGTCCTTTTAAAAGTGTATAGTTCAAAGACACGCCATCGACCTGTGCTTCGGCGTCCCAGACCAAACATTTCTTTCTTTTGTTGGGATTTTTCACTAAAAAAAAAGGCAGATACCAAGAACGTTGATTATGAGTCAGCTCTCGTTTTTGCAGTTTTCGAATGTAACTCTTCTTCTCGTAGTTCCGCATGGTATCAGTCAAAAACTCATTCAGCTCCGGATCCTTAAGCATTTTTGACTCGAGACATTTCAGACGTCTTAGAGCCATGGGATAGAAATCAGGCAGCTCAACATTCTCGTATCTCCAAAATAATCCAGTTTCCTAGCGACTGTCATTGAAAATGTACTTCGTAGTTTGACATGCAGCACACGTGGCGGCATGGCTTCGTCCAATCCATATCAGCCATAAACAGACTATCCCAACTGGCAACGAACCGCAATAAGATCGTCATTATCAGCTTCTTGTATGTGATCCAGTCCAATGATCATTTGGGCTCTAGCATTTGAGTACGTCGAGACAGGAACGGACCTTAGGTGATTGTGATCATTAAGTATCAATACTTTGCAATGGCAGATCCGATTTGCTCACAATGCACACTCCTTTCAGCACATATTTCACATCCAGGCAACCGGCAGCGGAAACATTGATACAGACGAGCTTGGATTTGGCTTCAGTCCGCGTCATTTCGCCGGTCCACTTCAAACAGAGCTCCTCTTCTGGTCCGTCTAAGCCCAGCTCATCAGCTAACTTGCGCTCCAATAGCATACAGGATGATCCCTCGTCGATAAGGGCCAAGACATCTACGGATCTTGATCCATTGTGCAAAGTTACTGGTATATATCGGAGCAGTGCCTTTTTTGTCGTTTTATCATGGAAGAAAACAGTTGACTCACTGGTTATTATATCGCTAGTTTTCTTCTCTTGTTCGACCTGGTCCTCGTTCTCAACTCGCTCCAAGTGTGGAACCTTATTGTGCTGTAACTTGCATCCATTGACATTGCAAGTCTTCTTTACTCTACAGTTCCGATCAATATGCTTCCCAAAGCAACAGAAGCATAGTCGTTTTGCCTTTATTATGTCCAATCTAGACTTGATTGACATTGCCAAAAATACTTTGCATTTTACAAGTTTATGGTCACCGTCACATCCTGGGCACGATGATTCTTGTACATCCTGCAGATTCTGATTGTTCTTGTCATCGCCTTCTACCGTATTGTGGATTAATATGCGTTCCTTCACGTGTCATAAGGCGTCAACATCGTAGCGCACATAGCTACGCCAAATAACCAATTATCAAAGGCGGCTAAATTTCCGCCGCCTGCTGCCAAACGATGTCTGCCCCAATTAGCTTCAAATCGCTCTAAAGCTTAGCTACCAAATCACTCAGCAGGGCTGAATCGTTTAGGTAACCACATCGTTTAGGACAACCATGAATCACCATGAATCGTTTAGGACAACATGGTCGCACAATAATTCTGCACCGCAAGTGCCAAACGTATTACGGACTCCAAATTGTTCGGTTTGATTGCTGGTTTCTCCTTTAGTTTACGTTGCAGACTAGCGTGCACTATTTCCGAACATCCATATAGCATTCTCAACGTTCCGATCGCATATGGAACCATAGCTGGAACCATAAGCTTACCTCGTACAGCATCTAAAGCTGATCCTCTAAGGCACTTCTGAAGCAGGATGAGATTCTACTCGTTGCTAAATCCGCATCTTTCTGCTCATAGTTGCTTATGAATAACAGCCACTCCTTGGGCTTACCGGAGAAAACAGGTAATTCTCTCGATATAACTTGACGCGCAGCTATCTGAGTCAGCGTCAGCATAACTGCGTTGCTCCCTGCCTGCTGAAACTGTGTGCTGGCAAACTGCGGCATATATCCACCTGCTCCACCGGCATTAACTCCAGAATTATAGGGTTGGAAAAAGTTGGCCGTATTGGGGTTACATTGTGGCATGAAACCCAATCCACTGAATGGCGGGGCAAATCCCGCTGAACCGCCTTGGAATCCAAACATGGCTGCATGGTGCGGCCTGTGCTCCATTATTTGCCATGAATCTAACCTCATTTCGTTGTGGAACCGGCCACGATGTACTGATCGGTAAAGGCCCAGCCGCGCCGTGTGGCGGTGCAGCTTGGGCTACATTGTTCCCTTGGATTTGTGCATAGGGAACAGGCGTTAAGATTGGATCCCGTGCAGCCCTCTGTTGCATATAGGGAGCCGTTGTCCATGGGATATTTCCATTTACTGTGTTCATTTGCTGCGCAGAAAACTGTGTAGCAGCATTTGGTTGCAACATGTCGTGACTTGCTTGGTTCACACTGATCGGCGTGCTCGCACTTTGAAGCGGCGCGCACCGATTCGACCCCATCACGGTCTGTGCAGTCGAGCTTCCATCGTAGAAGCCTGCAAATGGTCCTGTGAAGCTACAATTAGAGCTTCCAATAGAACCGTCCTCAATGCCCATGGCT